CTCCAGTGACAGATGGGCCATGGCTGTACATGGGTGCATTGGGCAGGGGTCAAACCTGGGTATCCTGCATGGAAAGCGATAATTCTACCACTGAACCACCAATGTCTCCATAATACTGAACCCAAAATTTAGGCAGTGAGTGCATGGTCAACCTGGGAAGACCCTCCACTGCAGGAATGAGCCCACTTCTGAAGGTGCAGCAGACTCTCTGGGCATCTCACTCCCTAGAGTAAATCTGTGTATTTTGGAACCCTGTGGTTGGGTGCACAGATATTTATTAAGGTTACGTCTTCTTGGTGAATTGTCCCTTCTAGTGGTTATATAATTTCCTTACTTGTCTTTTACGGTGAATTTTGCTTCAAAGTCTTTTTTATATGAGATTAGTATTGCCACTCCTGCCCTTTTTTGATTACTCTTTGCTTTATATATTTTTTCCCATACTTTGGTTTCTAATATATTTGTCTTTGTGTCTAAGGCGTGTCTTATGGACAGCATATTGATGGGTCGTGTTTTTTTCATCCATTCTGCTGCTCTCTGTCTCTTTACAGGTGCATATAAGCCATTTACCTTCAGTGTGATTATTGATAGATATGAGTATATTACTGTCATTGTAGTGCTTTTTTTTTTTTTTTTTTGTAGTGCTGACATTTTCTTTGTTCCCCTTACTTTCCTGTGCTGAGTTCCTTTTGTTTGTCGATTGTCTTTTTATTTATTTTGTTACTATAGCTTTTGTGTTTACTGAGTCTTTATCTTTTTCTTCTTTTTTATTTTGATGATTAAGTTTGTTAACTTTCTTTGTGGTTACCTTGAAATTTACCCTTATCTTCCTAAGTTTGAACTCATCTTTTATTACTTGATATCACCTTCACTTCCTCTCCATTTGAAAATTCTAAACCTACACAGTTTATTCCCCCTTTTATTGTTTTGAAGTTGTCTTCATTTACAGATTGATGACAGATTCTCTGGTTCCATTTTAAGTCTTTTAGTTTGTTTTATTACTGAGAGTTCTTTACCTAGATTTTTATCCTAGGTAATGCTGTCCTGTGTCCTAGACTCTGGTTGTCTGATATTGTTCATTCTCTAACCCAAGGACTCCATTTAGTATTTCTTGTAAGTTTGGTTTGGTTTTTATAAATTCCCTTAATTTCTGTTTATCTGGAAATGTCCTAATTTTGCCATCATATTTGAAAGAGAGTTTTGCAGGATATATATTTTTGGTAGGCAGTTTTTTCTTTCAAGGTTTTATATATGTCATTCCATTGCCTTCTTGCCTGCATAGTTTCTGCCGACTAGTCAGAGTTTAGTCTTATTCTTTCCCCTTTGTAATGACTTCTGGTTTTTCCTGAGCTGATCTCAGGATTCTTTGTCTTTGGTTTTGGCAAGTGTGTTTATGATATGTCTTGGTCTCTTTGACTTTCTTTTGGGTCTATCCTATATGGAGTTCTTTGAGCTTCTTGGATGGTCAACTTTTCATCTTTCATAATATTTGGGAAGTTTTCTGCCAGCAAATCTTCAACAATATTCTCTGTGTTTTCCATTTTCTCCCCCTGTTATGGAACTCCGGTCATGCACAAATTTTTGCTCTTGATTGTGTCCCACACAATTCTTAGGTCTTCATTTTTCGTTATTTTTTTCTCTGATTTTTCCTCAAAGTGATTTCCATGGATTTATCTTCAGTCTTGCTGATTCTGTCTTCCATTGTTTCAAATTTGTTCCTAGTTGTTCATTTCTGAAATTTTGTTGTTTATCTTTTGGATTTCTAGTTGCTGTTTTTGTATGGTTTCTAATTGTTTATTTATTTTAATGTTTTGTTCTTGTACTATTTTCCTGAATTCTTCTATTGCTTTGTCTGTGTTTTTCTTGATTTCGGCTATGTTGTTGTTGGTTTTGTCTGTGTTTTCCATGATTTTGTCTACTTTTTCCTTGGGTTCCCCTGTGTTTTCCTTTATCTTTTTCCTAATCTTTTGGAGAGTCCTAAATATCAGTCTTTTGAATTACGGATCAGGTAATTCCAGTGACTTTTCTTCTACCAGAAGGTTCTCTGGTTCTTTATTTTGGTCACTTACTGGAACCATTTTGTCTGCTTCTTTATATCTTTTGATATTGTCTGCTGTCTCTGAGACATTAAGGTATTATTTATTGATTTATGTTCATTTGTTTCACCCTGCTTTTTTGTTTTGTTTTGATATGTCAGGGTGGATTGGCCATGTGTGCTTTGCTGCTTGCTCATCTGTGGGCACAATAGTTCTCACCACCTTGTCCAGGTGGGCAGAGCAGCAGCAGGCAGGGCAAGCCCACTTCACTGTACACTTGTTCATCGAGGTGGCTGAGGGCAGACTGGGTGGGTGCTGTCTGCCTCCTGATGTTGGTCCAGTGGTGTGGGAGTGTTCACAGCCCCTTGCCAGATGGGTGGGGGTGTCAAACAGGGGGTGGTACAGGCTTGCTTCCCACGGTTCAACAGCTGGTCACATGGCAGGAGGGGAGAGACAGTGTGGGCTCAGTGCAGCAGTGGGCTTGAGCATCAGGGACACTCTAGCCATGGCAGTGAGATGGGGGCCAGTGGAAAGGGGTGGGGGAGGTGGTATACAGGGCTAGGTGGGAGGGAGAAAGAACAGAGAGACAAAGAAGAAAAAGAAAGGTCAATGTGGTGGGAGTCAGCAGGTGGGGTGGGGCAGACCCAGGGGCCAGTGCAAAGGGAGGGAAGGTGACTTATGGGTCTAAATGGGAGGGAGAAAGAAAAGAAAGAAAAAAAGGCAGTACAGTAGAAGCTGGCCTGTGGGGGCAGGGTGGACCTGGTGTGGCAGCAGGCCTGACCACCAGTGGTACTGTAGCTACTTCAGTGTGGCGGGAGCCAGTGTGAAGGGGGAAAGTAGTACATGGGGCTAAGTGGGAGGGAGAAAGAAAATTAAGAAAGGAAGCCAAAAAAAAGCCTTGCAGCAGGAGGGGGCTCATATTGTGGACCCCTGTAGTGGGGGCTACTGGGATGGGGGTATTCTTGCTTCTACTCACCAGAGGGGGGCGGGGAATGTGTTTCTCTGGTTACTGGGTGCTCTGTCTCTTGTTGGGAGTTCCATGAAGTTGCCTTCCTGTACTCCTTGTCTAGGGTCATTGTTGGCTGTATTTCAAGACAGAGACGCAGTGCCATGTTAGTATCCCTCATCATTGTCTATTTTCTGTCAATTTCTTCTTCCATTTGGTGTTTGATCTAGTTCTGTATCCCTTCATTTGATGATCAGGTTCCAGGATTGACATTTGTATCTGTTTTACTTGGTCTTTTGGGGTCTTTGCTGCAGATGGTTGGTGTGGTGCATCTGTCTAGGGCATAATGTTGTCTCCTTCCCAAGAGTAAATCTAGAACTCACGACCTATTTCTCCTTTCACCCTTACCAATCAGGAGGGAGGAGTGTGGCTGGGCAGAAAAGAGCCTAGAGTTCTGCTAAAGAGTCCCCTCACAGGAAAGGAGCTGTTAGTCACCTCTTCCTTCTCCATAGCCATCCTCCTCCCAACATGCACTACTAACATATGTCCTACCGGTAGTGTTGTTGTTGTTGTTAGGTGCCACTGAGTCAGTTCATAGCGACCTCGTGTATAACAGAACGAAACACTGCCCAGCCCTGCGCCATCCTCACAATCATTGTTATGCTTGAGCCCATTGTTGCAGCCCCTGTGTCAATCCATCTCATTGAGGGTCTTCTTCTTTTTTGCTGACCCTCTACTTTACCTAGTATGGTGTCCGTCCCCAGGAACTGATCCCTTCTGATAACATGTCCAAAGTATGTGAGACATAGTCTCACCATCCTTGCTTCTAAGGAGCATTCTGGCTGTACTTCTTCCAAGACAAATTTGTTCATTCTTCTGGCAGTTCGTGGTATATTCAATATTCTTCACCAACACCATAATTCAAAGGCATTAATTCTTCTTTGATCTTCCTTATTCATTGTCCAGCTTTCACATGCATATGAGGCAGTTGAAAACACCATGGCTTGGGTCAGGCGCACCTTAGCCCTTAAAGTGACATCTTTGTTTTTCAACATTTTAAAGAGATCTTTTATAGCACATTTCCCCGATGAAATACATCATTTTGTTTCTTGACTGCTGCTTCTTTGGACGTTGATTGTGGGTCCAAGTAAAATGAACTCCTTTACAACTTAAATAATTTCTCTGTTTATCAAAATGTTGCTTATTGATCCAGCTGTGAGGATTTTTGTTTTCTTTATGTTGAAGTGCAACTCATACTGAAGGCTGTAGTCATTGATCTTCATCAGTAAGTCCTCTTCACTTTCAGCAAGCAAAGTTGTGTCATCTGCGTATCACAGGTTTTTAATGAGTCTTCCTCTAATCCTGATGCCACATTCTTCATATAGTCCAGTTTCTCAGATTATTTGCTCAGCATACAGATTTAATAAGTATGGTGAAAGAATACAACCCTGACACACACCTTTCTTGACTTTAGACCATGCAGTACCCCCTTGTTCTGTTAGAACAATTGTAGTAGTTTTGGCGAATTTCTTTATTAGAAGGCTGATCTCTGACTCTGTTAAGACCAGGTTTACAGAATAAAAAAGTGGGACCCATGGTCATTTCAGAGTGCTTTGGGAGGAAAACAGGATATTGTGATTAAAGTTGATTATGCGTGCAGTCAAAAGTTCTGGCATTCTTTACCTCTAAGTAGCTAGTGTGCATTAAAAAAACTCAATGCATTGCAGTGCTTTCGGAAAATGCTAAATAATCTGAGAGGAATGGGACTGGTCAAGCTACTAAAGAAAAAATTGGGGATGAAGAGAGGTTTGCAAGAGCATGTGATTGGAAGGTGGAAGAATAACAATTTCATCAGCAAGAATATTTCAGTCTTTGGTCTTGAAGATGATACTCTGCTGGGATAGCAAAGTCCAACATATGGCCACCCATGTGGACTGCTTGATGCAGAAGGAAGTAGATTTGGTGTGGAGAACATGAAGGAATGGCAAGAATTTGGTGTTGTTAAGGCTGTCATCAAGAAGGCAGTGGTGGTTCAGTGGTAGAATTCTAGCCTTTCATGCCAGAGACCCAGATTTAATTCCTGGCCACTGCACGTTATGCACAGCCATCACACATCTGTCAGTGGAGGCTTATGTGTTGCTATGATGCTGAAGAGGTTTCAGCAGAGCTTCCAGACTAAGACAAACTAGGAAGAAAGGCCTGGTAATATACTTCTGAAAATTAGCCAATAAAAATCCTATGGATCACAACCTGCAACCCATCATGGGGATGGGGCAGAACTGGGCAGCATTTTGTTTCATTGTGCATGGCATCACCATGAGTTGGGGGCTGACTCTACAGCAGCTAACAACAACAGTAGGCTGTTGTTAGACTTGTTCAAGGTGATAGCAGAGGTTGGGATGTCCTGTGGCTTAACTTCTATTGAGGTCTTGCATCTCCCAGGCACCTGCAGCCCTTGCCAGTCCATCAACCACATCCGTGATTGGCGTGCTTGTTCAGTGGAAGTACCTGGATTCCACCTGGGTTGGTATGAAGAGTGACCAGGAAGAGATGGCTCAGGACCCTTGAGGCTGCTTTGCATTTCCCATGCAGCAGGAGGGATTTTCTTCCTCCTTCCCCAAAGCCGAACCCCACCCTCACTTCCAGCCCTTTGGGGATAGCCTTTGGCTGGAAGGAAAAACTGGCCTAGACTTTGTTAGTGTGTACACATGCCACAGTGGGTCTGGGAAGGGATTGTGTGCAACCTCTCTGTGTGCACCAAGAGGCCTTTGTGATTATTGAACAGTCACTCGAGCATGACTTTGCTCCTTCCAGATGTTTCTGTGGAGCTGACAGGACCTCAGAAAGGCTCTCTGCCTGTCACTCTCAGAATTGTGGAGGGCTGGGATAGGAAGCCCAAGCTGCAGTTCTTGCTTTGTCATGGCCCAGTTTAATTTTCTAGTTAATGTCACCTACTGTAAAGGAGGGAGATTTAAGTCCCTTTCCTCATAATCAGTCTGTTGTAGGTAGAATTTGTTTGAAAGAGCAATTGCCAGTCAAATTCTGGCCCCAGATTAAGTGGTCAGCAGTGGGTGGAGACATAACCATACATGCTGTAAGCTGGTCATCAGGAGGGACCAATCACTGGGGAAGGACATCATACTTGATAAAGTAAAAGGTCAGTGAAAAAGAGGGAGACCTCAATGAGATGGACTGACACAGTGGCTGCAACAATAGACTCCTCAAACATAATAATGATCACGAGGCTAGCACAGGACCAGACAATGCTTAGTTCTCTTGTACATAAGGTTGCTATGAGTTGGGCTGACTCAGTGGCACCTAACAACAACGGCTGTGAGATGATGTGCTTCCCTGGGCAACTCAGTCTTGTGTGGAGGTATGAGGCTGAAATTATGAGTGAGTCTGAACTTGACCTTGGGCATTCATTCAAATTCTCACCCGCCAGTCCTGGTCTGATCCTCATCTTGGCTGTATCCCTTCTCCTCTGGGGAATTGACGTCTGCCTTTGGCATCTGTTCTCCATCCGACTTTCTGACCACTGAGACAGAGGCCATTTATTAGCTTTCCCCTCAAGATGTCTGATTGCATTTATAAAAATTTACCATGGTCATTCTCAAGCAGAATCTGTTTCCTTGGTGAGGGTTAAAGTTGCATTTTTCTACCTAATCCTGTTGTGAATTTTTTTATTCACTCAATGCATTCATTCAGATAACACCTCTCAGCCTTTCCAATCCTCAGTCATAATCTCTTATTTTCTCTTTTTTGAGATTTATAACTTACATATGCATCTGTCCTTCTCTCTAAACTTATTGCCTGGCTCTCATCCCTCTTCGTGCATCCTTCCTGCCATCATGAGTCCCACATGGGACCCAGATGCACCCAACATGTGCAGTATGAGCCATTTTTCTAAACAAAATATGTCTCCTTCTAAAAACCAAAGATTATGTTCATTTTCTATTTTTCAACTTCTAGCATCAGTTGAAAACAAAGCAGATTGTAATCTTCATGAAGTAAAAAGTACTTGCTTTTCCTTCATCTCTAATAAAACCAGTTACTGTAGAGTTGACTTTGACACATGGCGACCCCATGTGTGTCAGAGTAGAACTGGGCTCCGTAGGGTTTTCAGTGGATGATTTTTTGGAAGTAGATTGCCAAACCTGTCTTCTGAGGTGCCTCTGGGTGGACTCGTACCTCCAAACTTTTGGTTAACAGCCACACATATTAACCATTTGTACCATCCAGGGTCATCTCTAATAGAGAGTACTACATAAAACAGCAAGCACACAGAAATATGAATGATCTTTGCATAGTCTGTCTTAGTTACCTAGTGCTGCTAGAACAGAAATATCACAAGTGGATGGCTTTAACAAAGAAAAATTTATTTTCTCACTGTTGAGGAGGCTAGAAGTTGAATTCAGGATGCTGGCTCTAGGGGAAGACTTTCTTTCCCTGTCAGCTCTGGAGGAAGGTCCTTGTCTCTTCTGAGCTTCTGCTCCTGAACTATCTTCATGTGGCTTGACATCTCTCTTTCCTCATCTCGGCTTGCTGACTTGTTTAATCTCCTTTATATCTCAAAAGAATTCACTCAAGAGTCACCCTACACTAATCCTGACTCATTAACATAATGAAGACAACCCATTCCCAAATGGGATTATAACCACAGTCACAGAGGTTAGGATTTACAACACATATATTTGGTGACACAATTCAATCAATAAAAGAGTCCTTTTTAAAATATTAGGCAAAATAGCAGTTCCATCTTCATATCTCTCATATTTAAGCCTATAATATGTGTTTGCTATTTTATTTAGGACTATTCAGTTGCACTAGAGAAAATAAGAGAAACAAATAAGAAGGCCAGATGAAGCTATGTATGGAAGCAATCAGCCTTGTGAGACCTTCTTAGCCATAGATAAAGTAGAGCATTTGTGCTCTGAACCAAGTTAGAAGGGATGGGAGGACCAAGGAGAAGCAAATATACATGAGTTCTCCAATATTCATGAGGTCTTAACTCCGACACCCATTGGTGCTAGTATTTCCAACCTCATTTTAAAGATCAAAACAGGAATCCAGAGAGTACTCATCCAAGGTCACACAGTTAATAAGTAGCAGAGTTGGGACTGAAACCCAGGTCTGTCCACCTCCAACTCTGGTTTGCTTCTCAGTCCGCCATGCTGAGTCTCCCTGGTATGACAGAGTCTTCGGCACCAGAGATACCTAGTATATATTCTATTGCTGATTAACCTTGAATTTAATTGGAGAATACACTCTACAAGGTAAGAATGGAAAAATGAACAAGGATAAACATGCCTGAGCTACAGGTCAACCTCTAGAATAATGTGGGACCTCACAACAGACAGGGTACCCAGCCTTTCTAGACCCCAGGCTTCAGCTAAACAATTGACACCATAATACCTGCCTGGTTTTGGTCTTTAGGGTGAGGCCCATATTGGGAAATGAAGATGAACATGCTTTGGAAAGTTATCTGGGCAGAAAACTCATAGGTCAGTGGGCGGTTTGCTGCTACCACTGATCCCTTTATTGGCGGGAGTGTGAGTCCCACTTCTAGCATTGAAGGGAAGGAATTACAGAGAAAGTTTGTTTTCCTGTCACCTTTTCCAGAGCATAATACTAATCTTTAAATTCAATTTTTTTTAATGGTCTTGTTGACTTTTCTTGGCCTTCACCTTTCCTAAAGGAATCACTTCCGTGTATATTTCTCCTGGTCTCCTCAGTGAACTTCACCCACTGGCTACCACCTCTCCGCTCTCTTGCTTCTCTCTGGGGCTCAGTGCTGGCCCTTCTGCAGTATGTGTTTCTTCCATGAGCCCCTCTTCACACCCTTGCTTTTCCTCCTGACATTTTCCTGTTTCCTAATGACGCTCTCCTTCTGAGCTTTCTTCTAAATTTGAACACCAAGAGGCACTAGCGGTGACCAACAACAATGAGGCCTAAGAAAACAGGTCATTTGAGCTGGGAGAGACGTCACTGAAACCATCTTAGTATTTGATTGGCCTTTTGTTAAGAGAATAGTGATTCTTTAAGCCAGGCCTGAGAGAGACACTGGTCTCTTTTTAGAGTGGACAGAGTTGGGATGGCACGTACTGAAAGGGCAGTGTGTTGATGGCTGGAACTAGGTGCGCCACAGGCATGAGATTGTTGGGCAGCCTGAGAGACGTCTCGTGCTAATAAGCTGGGCCCCTGCCGAGCATCCAGCAGCCTCAGGAAGGACAAACAATGTGAGTCTCAATTGAAAGGCAGATGGATCTTATGGGGGGAGGGGCAAGCTGGGAGAAAGTACTTTGAGAGCGTGTGGCAACCCAGCCAGGGAGAAGTCAAGAGCCAGGGGGCACCTGGGAAGTGGTTGAGTAAGATGCTCATGAGGGGCCCTGGAAGAGATGTAGCACTGAACTTGGCTGTGAGCACATCAACACGGTGAGCTGTACTTATAGTCAGTAAATTATGTCTCTGTTTGATTTTATTTTGAGGCTTGAGTCTCTGCCGATGATGGAAGGAAAAAATAATTAGAACAAGAAGGTGAGTTGGGAGTAGGATGAGAAATAGGGTAAAGGAAGGAAGGAAAGATGGACAGAAGGAAAGCATGAGAACTTCTATGCTTTTTCCTGAGTAGGTGGTCAATGATGAATTTACCAGCTTGTTTTATTAAATTACTCTGACTGTCTTTCTCTCTTGTGCGTGTGTGTGTGTGTGTGTGTGTATGTGTGTGTATCCTTCCAATGGAGAAAGGAAATTCTTTGTGATATATAGATCACAGAGAGAGAGAGAGACAAAGACAGATAAAGAGAGACAGAAAGACAGACTTTGGAGGTGTAACAGCAAAACATACTCCTATTTTTACCTTACTTTGGTAGGAAGGGTTTGTTTGCTTTTTAATCTCTGAAGACATGGAAATGGGATAATAATTTTGAGTTACGTGGACGTTGCCTTCATACAGACTAATGGCAAGGTCAGTTTCCAAGTGAAAGATAAAATCCAGTGAGCTTCTGGCAGTGCAGGGTTCTCTGGGAGAACCACTGCAGAAACGTCACTGCATTCTCCATTAAGGAATTCCAGAGGGGCTCGTTTCCAGGG